CCCATTGAAATCCACCCATATGCTGTATTTTTTATTTGCTGTAATCCACCATGGAAAAACATTGAGAGGCAGAGTATAAATTCCTAGAAATACATAATATTAATAATGGCTGCTTTTGTATTTTCCTATATCAGTTATTTTTTTGGGGGGGGGGATTAATTCATGATTTTAAATGGCCTAGCAAACTCTTTAGAGAGAATACTTCTGCTTATGGATTGTTTGTTTGCCATCTTACCAAACGTTATTTTGAACTCTCTGTTCACTCTCTGTTCTCTGACTGCTTCATTGTCATAACTCACACACGGCTATTTTGTACGCCAACCAACATAAATACACAGGAAGTAAGATAGATGTACCCAACTACTTGTAACTTTCCACTCTCATTAGCATTCTGGTGAAGAGAATGTCATTCTCATAAATGTTTGCAGAAGGCAGATAAAAAAGGTACTGAATACAGTCGGTGCTAAATTGCAGCTTTTGTTTGATCTAATGCTTGCAAATTATTTTGCAATATTCATATCTTGTTGCAGTACAGGAACTCCCAAGTGCAAGTGCAATCATTGGATTTTTTTAATACATGACTTCATCTTGCACACTTTTTCTTAATTGAAGAACCATTTTGTTCATGAACAAATCTATTTGTATAATTCATCTGATTTTTATTATTATTAAAATGCTTTGTTTATTTCATCCATTGGCTCATAATGTACAACTCTGAGTTTAAAAGAGTACTGGCAACTATTTGCAATTATATGACTTGAAACAATTATTCCATTAATTAATTGCTTAGATTTAAATAAATTTGCAAAGAATTGCCAAAACATTAAATATAACTGCATTTTAAGCTATCAAAGGAAGTCTGAAATACTGTAGAATGAACAATAGTTGCTACTCAAGGGAAAATACTACTTCTGTTATTTTTTTCCATTTGGTATTAAAATAAGAAACTAACATTAAGGCTTAATTCTTGTTGGCGTGGTAAATTCAAGAGATATGCCTAGAATTGTGCTTAGAATGACAGCTAGAATTCCACCCCCACAAAACCCCTTTCTTCACATGCTACTGTTTGGGGGATTTGGGTGGGAAAACGTGTTCCCCAAATGCTATTGAAACACCCCCCTCTGTTTCACTATTTGCAAATGGGGTGGCAAAATGAAGGGGGTGCCTTTCAGCTGGGTCCTATTTATACGACTTCACACTTCTGCTGGGGATTCGCATTATGGCATTCTTGTTCTTGTAAATAAATCAGATAGAGATGTTAAACATGTGCAGGAGAAGGGATATTCACCTAGCCTGCTTGATATGCTAATTCTGAAAGTGGAAGAAAATTCTCTGTATGAACAAGGATTTCATCATGTGAGCCTTTCCCGGCAGGCTTAAGAGGTAGGTAGACCCCAGGCTCAGGTCTGCCATATCAGTGAGTACTAGGCCCCAAAGAGCAGGCATGCCCTGAACTTGAAGTCCATCCATTAAAATTTGCCCTCCCTGATTAAAATGAACTTGCACAGATAAATCTTTTGAAGCTTTAGCTGATTAATCTATGATTAAATCTTGCAACCCAACCCTGGTTTAAAAATGGATACAATTTCCCCCGATTTCCTACTAATAAATGGACATAGCTGCAGAGACTACATAATCAACCACAGAAGATGCATTTGAATACATAATAATAATTCAAATCATGATTTGGTGCATGAGCGAAAAGCTGGCCCTTCAGGTGGCCCTTCTTCCTCTCATATGCAGGGCTTCATATATTACTTCCTGGTCTAATCAAACCATAATTTTGCGGGGACATCTGAACTTGCAAACTATGATACGGGATAGCAGTCCAAGCCAAGGCTACAAACCATGATTTGATCCTGGTGTGTAACACTCACATATTTGCCACTTCAGGCATGGCACATTGTGGCCTGATTAGCACAGGCGGAGGTGGAAGGGATCAGGAGAAGATGGAGCACTTGGGTCCATGCCTTCAATACAGCCAATGCTCAGACTCAAGTAACAGTTGAATTGCTGAACTACAATAAAAGCATCCCAGCAGCAGTATTATGGATGTTCACTAGGAGTGGGTCAGGTGAGGCACTTGGGGAGGGGGGCGAACCAGCAGGAGCACCAGATTGGACCTGCCAGTGCAGCCACACAGCCCCAACCTTGAAGCCACCTCACCCCTTCCTTTCCCAGTGGCACTGTCACCGCCACTGAGAGGCTATTGTGGTAGGTCCACGTTTCCAGTTGAGCTCCTCCTCCTTAGGTAAAATGGCAGGTTTCTGTCATACTGTAAAATGACCATTCTGGAAAAGAGCACTATTACTGGTGTGGAACCACCAAACAACATTGGGGGCCAGGCCAACACTTTTTTTTGATTACATATGTAAGTAGGCTTTGGGTATTTATCCTGAATCAACCAGCGTGACAGCTGGTTGTTTTGCAGTGTCGATCCTGGGTTAAGTTTCTCCCAGACAGGGACGACCCCTTCAGGATTGCCATCTTGGGGGCTGTCATGGCCCACTGACCCCCGACTGGGCTTCCAGGCAGAAGCACCTCCCCCTAGACCCCTTTAACGGGGTACCCCTGTCTCATGAAAGTTCCCAATTCCCCCCACCCCACCTAGACTAAGGAGGCAATGCCTCATCTGCCAACAAGTTGTGACAGTTGCTATGTGGTAGGCAAAACCTTCCAGACGAGCTTGATTTTTCTGCAGCAAATTCCTCCCTGGACCCAAAACAGTGACCAAATATTTCCACAGAACTTGCCCACCCACCTTTGTGCAGGGCCATATGGAACATAGGATAGGAGGATGGGGAATCCAGGTCTGACTGAGCTGACAGTCTGGACCTGAGCGAAAACCAGGGGTGGGAGTCTTCCCTCAGGTCTGCCACGAAGCCCTGCCACTACCTGCTTGCCTGTGATAGGTCTGTTCAAATGCAGCTTGCTTGTGATAGGTCCATTTGACTACAAGCCTCCCAGCAACCTGCTGGGCTAGAGGAGGATGGAGTGTCATCTCCTAACAGTCAAGTGGGGCTAGAAATTTGCCCCGGACTCAGCAAAATCACCACTCACCATCCTACGAATGTAAGCGGTCCTTATTGCACCACAGTCGAGAATTGTGGTGAACCTACTTTTGGGTGCAAGTCATAGGTAAAGCTAAAGGGACCCCTGACCATTAGGTCCAGTCGTGACCGACTCTGGGGTTGCGGCGCTCATCTCGCTTTATTGGCCGAGGGAGACGGCGTACAGCTTCCAGGTCATGTGGCCAGCATGACTGAGCTGCTTCTGGCAAACCAGAGCAGTGCACGGAAATGCCGTTTACCTTCCCGCCAGAGCGGTACCTATTTATCTACTTGCACTTCGACGTGCTTTAGAACTGCTAGGTGGGCAGGAGAAGGGACAGAGCAACGGGAGCTCACCCCGTCGCGGGGATTCGAAACGCGACTTTTGATCAGCAAGTCCTAGGCTCTGTGGTTTAACCCACAGCGCCACCCGCATCCCATGCAAGTCATAGTATGACACTAAAAAAAGCTCCAGTAATATTTAGCTCTAAGAAAATGATAAATAAGGCTAAACCATAAGAAATTATCAAAACCATACTCTTCACACGTTGCAGTAAAATCCTATACATGTTTATTCAGAAGCAGGTCTTGGGCTCCAATAAGACCCATGAAACGCAATGAGATTTTTTTCTGAGTAGACACATAATAAGATTAAGCTTTTTTAACCTCAATAGATATACTTCTAAACTGCCAACTCATTAAAAATATCATGGTGGTATGCAATAAAACAGACTTATGATTGCTATCATTGCTTCAGAGACATAAACATGGAATATTCTGTATGTAACAATAAATTATCAGTTGCACATGGCATGCTTTCTTTTCACCATATCTGAAAATCTGATTAAATTTATGATTAGAATAACACTACTGTTTTTGGATAAACAAACGATAACATGACTTTTTTGTGGTTTATGAGTACACTAATGCTCTAGATATATTCCTGCCTACCTGCATAAATGAGGTCCTGATGTGCTGAACAGGTTTCTAACAGTTCGACAGATTGAATCAAGCTTGGAAGCTCAGTACTAAATGTAATGAACCTGCTTAAATGAGTAAAGAAGGAATTGATGCTACTATTTCTTCGTTAATCTAACAACTGTTTCTTCTCTTCTGTTCTTTGTACTGGGAGGAACTTTCACAAAGATTCCATTTGAAGGTTTGTACACAGAAGACACAGCTGGAAGGAGTATTGAGAAGGCTCCATTTTTTTATTTTTGCACATGGCTGTTGATAAATGCAACACGGAGCCTAGAGGTGGCAGAAATTCCGCCAGCCATGTGCATGCTCAGTATACTTGTGGGTAAGCCCCGTCTTTTTCTCCACCTAATCTCAACCATACTAGCATGCCCTGTAATATGCTAGTCAAAACCCTGAATAATGTTCAAGTCAGACTGCAGTATACATACAATAGACAAGCTGACTGCTGCAAAGGAAATCTGCAGAAAATTTTGTAATGCCCTTTGAAGTCTATTCTTTGAAGATAGTACTGAAATGAGCTTATTTGTAACAGAAATGCTTTTCTTATTAATGTATTTTATATTAAGGCATATTTTCCATAGATTAACATGTCATTTCCACCTTGGCATTAATTCAGTTTAAAATAACTATTTATTTTAGCAGGTTTTCTCTATTTAGCACCATCAAGAAAGTTAAACAGATCACTACAAATCATTACTGCGTAATAGAAAAAGCATTTTAGATAAAATACTGGAGCCACTTTCATCTAACTCTGCATCAGTTCAGCATTATAAGCCGTATTTTATGTACTGCATTTAGATGGTTTTATAAACTCATTTGATTACTGTGCTGCCTTTAATACTTTAAATTCCTGAAAGAATTTTCCACAGTCTTATGAACTAGTTAAAGCTCAACTGATTGTATTAATGTAGACAGTTCGCTGACTGTTTTATCTGTATTGTTTTACACTGATCTGCAAGGAAGGCCTACCTGGATGTTAGTCAGAAGGGTTTCTATGGAGGACAATCCATCAGGAAATAGAAAAGGAGATGGAAAACCTGGAGGTAGCGGCTGCCCATGCCCAGTTAGCGAAAGTTTGTCAAGGCTGTCTCTTGCGGTTGGTGTGGAGAGCGGGGTCTCATCTGTATGTGATTGAAACAAAAATATAGAACAAGTTACGCTTGTCTGTTTTTATTAGACCTCAGTAATGGCTTCCCTAGTGGTTTCCAGAACATTTATTGCAAATTGGTTCCTGCTATCAGGAGAAAATGCTTTCTGCTGAATTTTCTTTAATGAAAAAGCTGTGGAGATACAACAAGATAACATTAATGAGTAACTTTATAAGCCTTTTAAATGCAGTCTCTAATGAGACTGAGTTTACAGTGCCATAGAATCTTTTTAAAACAAATATTATCTCACATATACTTGTGATAATATATTTAGGCTGACTTTATGGGTACCTTCCCAATTATCTCATTTTAGTCTGTGCACTATTTGGATTGACAATAGAATATTTCCGAGGATGATACATATTTTATATTGCAGCAGTGTGTTTTATGCGAAGATGATTCTCAATTAGTTAACCCATAATCAACCATCTCCTTGATTTAGGAAGTGCATGTAAAAATAAACTTCCATGGACACACACACACACACACACACACACACACACAAAGGGGGCAAGCAGCTATGGGGACACACACCCAGTGGTCCTGCACACACGTTGCTGGATGGATGGATGCTGCTGTCAGCTCCAACAACTATGCTGGACGTTGGGGAATCATTTCCAGATATCTCTCCCACTCTCCTGGTTCCAAAAGTGCCAATCATCTCTTGAGTGGGGGGCTCATGAATGAGAACATTCATGCAGGTGCAATATTTCCACTGGAATCTGTATTAAGACTGAGTGTTAAAAACAAAAAAACCCCAACCCCCCCAAAGTTACGTATTTTGATTACTCTTAGAAAGTAACACATTTAACATTTTTTTCTCTCCACTCTATGTGTACGTAAGGTCCACTGGCAACTTGGGAGGTTTTCTATATACTTCATCATAATATTGCAGTTGCCTTGTCTCTCTTCCACAATCTAAGGAAAGGCTTTGGGAAATGTTGCTGCATATGCCTCTGATTTGTAAAGTAAAGGTAAAGGGACCCCTGACCATTAGGTCCATTTGTCGCTTTATTGGCCGAGGGAGCCGGCGTACAGCTTCCAGGTCATGTGGCCAGCATGACTAAGCCACTTCTGGCGAGCCAGAGCAGCGCACGGAAACGCCGTTTACCTTCCTGCTGGAGCGGTACCTATTTATCTACTTGCACTTTGACGTGCTTTTGAACTGCTAGGTGGGCAGGAGCTGGGACCGAGCAACCGAGCTCATCCCGTCGCTGGGATTCGAACCGCCGACCTTCTGATCGGCAAGTCCTAGGCTCTGTGGTTTAACCCACCGCACCACCTGCATCCCGCCCCTGATTTGTATATGAGATAAAACCGCACAACACTGTATAAAAATCAAGGGGGGGGGAAGCATAGCAGCTTGCCAGGAGGAACGACCTCCCTCTCCTCCCCAACAAGTTGGGGGGTTCTCCCAGTGCCCCCCCAGCCAACTTTGGAGGTAAGGAGTTGCCCCATTGTGGGAGAAAGAACTCTCTTGCTCAAGAATAAGCTCTGTTCTGTTATTCATCCTCTAATTACTCCCAGCTCCTGCTTCCTCCCAGCTGCCTCCACTTCCACGACTCTCATCTGTCTATCCTTTACTGTCTCCTCCTTGCTCCTTCCAGCACCCCCTTCTGCCTGTTGCCTTGCCTCGTTCTTCTCATTTTCCTTCCTGATTCTTTTGTCCTGCCTCTGGCAGGAACTTATGCATTGGTTACTGAAAGCTGCCGCACAGCCTCTGATTTGAAAAGATCGTAAAGGCAAAGCAGCAGTGTGGATCCAGCATGCCCCGCATCTGCACTACTGGATTCTAAGTCTTTCTTGGAATCCCTCTTCGATGCCCTGATTTTGTTGTACTAGAGCATACATCACCTAAGCATGCAGGTACCTCCTTGTTGTTGCTTTCTGGCCATGTTTTTGCAACAATACCGTCAGCATGCATTAGAAAGAGTGGTATCTCACCCTGTAAGTTGGATGCTCACACAGATTCATTACAGGCTCCTCCATACAATGGGTTTATTCAGCATTTATCCTGATATGCTTGTGCAAACATTACACAGGGGTTAGATATGCTTGGTCTTTATTGAGCCTTTGCTGTGTTTTGCTTATTGGGTTCATATACTACAATGAACATTCACCTTGCATTCATTCAGATTTGCTTGCAGCATGCTTACGCATTTTCCCATTAATAAATTTGTCCCACATTTTCCAATGTATTTTCCTCTCACTTTCCTACCCGCAAACAGTCAATTTCTTTGTAAAAATTAGTTTGTTGTGCTAAGGTGTCAGAGCACTTTAATTGCACAAACCTGCTTTTCCCCAGCATGCTTTGAATCCTCCTGCAATATACTTGCTTCACTTTGTCAATGACTACATACACATGTAGCGAGAAGCCATAGTTTAACACTAAATGAATGAGCAGAAAGGGGCCTGTGCAAAGTGCCTGGCTCACACCCCACCTCCACCCTTTCACAGATCCCTGGCTTTCACTGAAGACCAACTTCAAACCATGGGTTGTGAAGCTGGCTTGCTGAAACAAACTAGAGTTTATTTTAAATCACAATTCCTGGTTCACATGTAAGGTTAAGCCAGGAGAAGCTGGATCCTGGTTTATTCACCATCTTGAAGGAAATGGAAGCACTTGAACCCACAGGGACTCACACACATCAAGCTAAACCATGGTTTAGTGCTTTGTGTTAACCCTACAAGTATATACAAGCCTTTAAACTAGTACATAATTGTTAGTAACTTTAAACATTTCTGCTACATTCACTGCAATGCTTGTGAAGGTTCTCTTACATTCTTTCCTCCAATCAGAAGCAAGAAATAACCTAAGCATTCCTAAAATGGTACTGAATTGCATTCATTCCAGTGACTAAACACCATTTTTACTGATTAACAGTGGTTTCATTGAACCACAGTGGAGAAATAAGAGACTTGAACTCAAGCTGAACTTATTTTAATGAATGTTTAATTTAAGGAAAAATAATCTGACATAAAGTGACTTTGTTTTCTTTACGTCCCATGTGAAATAAACTTTGAATGTGACTGTATTTGAAGCAAAACAAATGTACATATCATACACAGGAAGAGTGGATATTTGGCGATGTGAGATAAGCTATGACCAAGGGAGGGGGAAAGGAGGGGGGAGGCTTTAAAGGGAATAACAACACATACTGTAAATATTAGCCAATTAAAACACAACCATAGATCACAGTAGCATTAAAGTACTTCAAAATATGTCCAAGAGCTCTCCATTACAATGTTGTTAACATTATGTCAAAGTGAATGGCTCAAGGCCCAAACCTCTTTGAACAAACCCATCCAAGGGACAACACACATTTCTGCTATAACCCTATTCACGCATTTCTGCCACGCCTCCTACCACTGACATCTTTCTTCTCCAACAACCACTGGGGGGAAGTGAGCAGAAAGCCTGAGACCTCAGCTCCTGCTCTCAAGCAAGGGCTTCGCCTGGTCATTTGTGAGCAGGAGCTTGAACATTGGGATTTCTCCTCACACAACCATGCATACCATGTGGCTACTGGGGGGAAAGGGATAATGTTGGGCTGGGGCTAAAAACATGGGCCCACGTGTTTATGTCCAACACATGAGCAATGCATTAATAGGATTTCTAAGTCCTCTCCTCTCAGAAGGCTAATTGAGGAACGGGGCAAATTGGCATGTTTATTTTGGAAGCCAACAACTGTTTGATATTATAATAGTACATCCCTAATGCGCAAAGTCAAGAATGGACATCCCTATTTTCATTCGAAAAACGTTGGAGGGTATGAGCAGGTGGAAAACAGCTGTATGGATTGTTCTTTATTCTTGATGTATACAGTATACGGCTGAATGCAGAGATGTGCTGGCGAAAGAAATTAGGGCAGTAGCATTGTTCTGTGATTTGTTGTGGGAGCATGCCAGTTTGGTGTAGTGGTTAAGAGCAGTAGTCTTGTAATCTGGGGAACCAGGTTCGAGTCTCTGCTCCTCCACATGCAGCTGCTGGGTGACCTTGGGCTAGTCACACTTCTTTGAAGTCTCTCAGCCCCACTCACCTCACAGAGTGTTTGTTGTGGGGAGGAAGGGAAAGGAGAATGTTAGCCGCTTTGAGACTCCTTAAAAAAAAGGGAGTGAAAGGCGGGATATCAAATCCAAACTCTTCTTCTTCTTCTTCATGCATTTAGCACATGTTAAATGTTAAAAGGGACACGGGTGGCGCTGTGGGTAAAAGCCTCAGCGCCTAGGGCTTGCTGATCGAAAGGTCGGCGGTTCAAATCCCCGCGGCGGGGTGCGCTCCCGTTGCTCGGTCCCAGCGCCTGCCAACCTAGCAGTTCGAAAGCACCCCCGGGTGCAAGTAGATAAATAGGGACCGCTTACTAGCGGGAAGGTAAACGGCGTTTCCGTGTGCTGCGCTGGCTCGCCAGATGCAGCTTTGTCACGCTGGCCACGTGGCCCGGAAGTGTCTCCGGACAGCGCTGGCCCCCGGCCTCTTGAGTGAGATGGGCGCACAACCCTAGAGTCTGTCAAGACTGGCCCGTACGGGCAGGGGTACCTTTACCTTTACCTTTAAATGCCCATTAAGTTGTGGGCTTGCATTTTATTTGGAGAAGTGACGATGCAACATTATTATATATATAAAATCTGTAAGTTGCAAGTATGAAAAGAAATCAAGGTGCGGTAGTATCAAAAACACACAACACATAAGGCAGACATTAAATTTGACACCTGGAAAGAGTAACAACTGTCACTGGAAGAGCAGAACTGCTCACTCAGGGCCTTAGCACCACATCACCTTCCCTCAAGACTCCTAGAATTTGTAATCTTGCATGTTCATACAGAGAATATTTGTTGGTAAGAATGTTTCAAACAAAAAGCTAGAATATTATGATGTATGAATCCACTTTGATTTCTCCTTAAACTGTAATTAAGTACTTCAGATTATATGTGAAGGATAAGGAATATACATCTTTTTGTGGATTTAGGTACAT